ATCCTTCATATATTTCTGTCTATATATTTTTGATGGTAGTAATTGTTTGTGGGGTAACCTGAACTTATATGCAATAAGTTTGAAGGCAAATAGAGATACAAGAGCAAAGGTAGAAATTAATGTTGTGTAAGGTGTTGAGTAATGTAATTACAGTAATGGCAACTGCTGACAGAGGGTTTGAAACTAAATTAATTTGGTCATGAGCCTATATATATGGGTGTTTACCTGAATATTTTGTATTTTAAAAGTAAATTAGTAATGTAGCACTATACAGTGCAGGATGGAAAACTAAATGTACCCACCGTGCCATTTTTTTATATAAATGAACACTAATATAGGGAACTGATGAATTTTTAAGTATAACTTTGTTGAGTATTTTAAGCCATCCATGTATTACAAAACTATATTTATTATACAATAACACTTTGGAATGAAAACTACAATAATCAATAAAAAAGTAAGTACCATACCTTAGTCTTTTACTTGCTTCCTCATTTTTATTGTAATTGCATGCTATGTAATTTCAGTTACAGTTCCATACACAAAAGAAATTATGCAAACAAGCTAAAGGCATTGCTGTATATGACTTCATCCACTGTGAAAGTAAACTTCCAAACAAAATGCAAAAAATATACAATGTCAAATTAACTGAATTTTTACTTTAACTTGTAATACCTGGTAAAGTGTATGGTAGAGTTATTATTGAAAGAATTAAGAGTAGGACAGCAGATGAACAAGGAGGCTTTAGGAAAGGTAGGGGGTGTGTAGACCAAGTGTTTAAAGTGAAACATATAGGTGAACAGTATTTAGATAAGGGTAAAGAGGTTTTTGTGGTATTTATGGATTTGAAAAAAGGGTATGATAGGGTGGGTAGGGGGGCAGTGTGGCAGATGTTGCAAATGTATGGAATAGGAGGTAGTTACTGAAAGCAGTGAAGAGCTTTTATGAGGATAGTGAGGCTCAGGTTAGATTATGTAGGAGAGAGGGAGATTATTTCCCAGTAAGGGGTAGGTCTTAGACAAGGATGTGTGATGTCACTGTGGTTGTTTAATATATTTATAGATGGGGTTGTAAGAGAAGTGAATGCTTGGATGTTTGCAAGAAGTGTAGGGTTAAAAGATAAAGAATCGAACACAAAGTGGGAAATATCACAGTTGCTTTTTGCTGATGACATTTCTTTCAGAAAAGAATCTGAAGAGAAGTTGTGGAGGTTGGTGGATGAGTTTGGAAGGGCATGTAAAGAAGGAAATTAAAAGTGAACAGGAAAGAGCAAGGTAATGAGGATAAAAAATCAAGGTAATGAAAGACTATATCAGAGTGGAGGGAGGGAGTATGGAGGAAGTGAATGTTTTCAGATATTTGAGAGTGGACTTGTCAGCAGATGGGTCTATGAAAAATGAGCTGTATAGTCCTTGTGGCTTAGCGCTTCTTTTTGATTATAATAATAATAATATGAAAAATGAGGTGAATCATAGAATTGATGAGGAGAAAAAAAGTGAGCAGAGCACCAAGGAGTCTGTGGAGAAGAACAAGATTATTCATGAAAGCAAGAGGGGAATGCATGAGAGTATAGTGGTACCAGTGCTCTTATATGGGTGTGAAACATGGGTGATGAGTGTTGCAACAAGAAGGCTGGAGGCAGTGTAGATGATGTGTCTGAGGGCAATGTGCAGTGTGAATATAATGCAGAGAATTCGTAACTTGGACATTAGGAGGTGCAAGGTTTTTAGAAGTATTATCCAGATGGCTGAGGAGGGGTTGTTGGTGGTTTCGACATTTAGAGAGGATGGAACAAAATAGAATGACTTAGAGGGCATATGAATATGGAGTGGAAGGAAGGTGGGGTAGGGGTTATCCTAGGGAAGGTTGGAATGAAGGATGTAAAGGAGGTTTTGCATGCAAGGGACTTGGACTTACAGCAAGCATGTTAGACAAGAATGAGAGCAAACTAGCTCTGTAAAAGAATTCAGGAAAGCCAGTTAACCAGACTTAAGTCCTGGAGGTGGGAAGTACAGTGCCTGCACTCTGAAGGAAAGGTGGAGATCTATTGCAGTTTTTCTAGCTGTAGTGTAGGTGTGCCTCTGGCAAGACAGTGGAGTGAATGATGAAAGCGTTTCTTCCTTTTCGGGTCACCCTGTCTCAGTGGGAAACGGCCAATGTGCTAATAAAATAAAATCTTTTCACAGAGAAGGGCAGTCAGCAAATCAAGATATTGGAAAAGTTGAGATGCTCTCTAATAAAAAATAATATAATCTAAGCACTCTCCCAAACACAGAGCAGCTGATTATTATTATAATCAAAACCAAGCGCTAAACTCCCTAGGGTCATAAAGCGTTGCAGGGCAGGGGGTGTTGCTGGATCAGAGTAGCAAAGGTGGAGAGGATAACAGGTAGAGATAGAAAGGGTTGTGAGGAGTGCTAAAGGATTTATCAAAATTTGTGCAATAAATCAGTTGCTGTCAAAAAGCTAAAGAGGGAGTCTGAGTCAAAGGTGGGGCCGTCAGCAAAGAGGGAAGATAAAGCGAGGCTGTTAGAGCGGTGACGCTGTGGGAGGTAAATTCTGCATGCTCGTTGATAGACAGGATAGTCCAACATTATGTGGCAAACTAAAATTGTAAAAGAGCAGCTGAATCTATTCATTGTTCCAAACGCACTTGTCCAAGGACTTAGTATGAAATTACCATGAAGGACGAGGCGGACATTAATGTAATACGTGACAGCAGTGAGCATTGCATTTTCTGCTGTGAAAACACCAGCTAATTCTAGTAAATGATTGAATTATTTTTTTCAGGAAAAACTGCTGCATATACACTAGTATGAATGGAAATGTTCAATAAAGATCAAGCATGAAGTTATAGCAGGCAAGGTTTTGAACATAGGTATACAGTATATAAAGGGAAGCACTAAACCTGCATTATTATAATCATGGGGGGAGCACTAAACCTGTAGGATTATACAGCACCTGTGGGGGGGGGAGGGATGGAAGGCATTCAGGCTCAATTCAGGGAACTGGATCACAGATCCAATTCCCTAGATCAAGAGCCCCTCACCAATGTCAAGGAACCTCCCTTAAGGGGACTAAACCCACAGGGGTCAATTATTATAATCAAAAAGCACTAAACTTACACAGGTCATACAGAGCAGCAGGGCAGGGAAGGGTGCAGGGGTATTGGGTAGGTCATGGAGTGCAGCAGGGCAGTGGACCATAGGGGTCAAGACCCCTTGCCAACAACCTCCTTCGAAAGACAAAATTAACTTTTATTTAATTGGGGAGATACACAAATAACCCGCACATAAAAGAGAGAAGCTTACAACGACGTTTAGGTCCGACTTGGACGTCGTCGTAAGCTTCTCTCTTTTATGTGCGGGTTATTTGTGTATCGTTCCAGTCACGGTATTGTGCCTTTTTGTTATTTATTAATTGGGGAGCAGCAGTAAAACCTTAGGAGTCACAGTACTCAAGAATTATTATAACTACGGCGAAATACTAAACCCGTAGGATTATACAGCGCCCGTGGGGGGATGTGGAAAGTATTCCGGGAACTGGAGCACAGATTCAATTCCTTGGATCAAGAGCCCTTCACAGGTACCTAAGGCACCAATACCTTCGTGTGGTGATAAAATACTAAAAATTCTTAGTTGCAATTATTTTTCCATAAGCTTACCCTGCGAGTCTGCAGTGATGACTGTTTTCATCCACCACAATGTTGTTGCTTTTGGGTAACATTATTATTATTATAATCAAACAAGAAGCGCTAAGCCACAAGGGCTATACAGCTTTTGGGTAACAATATAATCAATTTGAGTGCTAAACTCATACGGGACTTACAGCATTGTGCGCTAGGGTATTATTATATAATCGGGAAGCACTAAACCCGTAGGATTATACAGTGCCTGTGGGTGGGGATGGAAGGTATTTAGGCTTAATTCAGGGAACTGGAGCACAGATCCAATTCCCTAGATCAAGAGCCCCTCAGCAGCATCAAGGAACCTCCCTTGAGGGGGGCTTTAAGGTACAAAGAGGGCTGGAGTAACTCAAGTTTGAACACCAGGTGCCTACACACTGTCTCACCATGCCCACAAGGGTCATAAATTATTATAATCACAAAGCGCTATACCGACAAGGGTCATGCAGCGCTGTGGGGCAGAAAATAGTGCCGGGTCTATAAACAGCTAGTTGGAAAGGGGATCAGAGTTAAGGGAAGAAAAGGGCTGGAAGGGACACTGAAGGCTGTATATCAAAATACAAGGGACAAAGTGCTGCTCCATGCCTGGGAATTGAACATGGGTCCCTTTGGTTGAGATTTCAGCACTTGCTACTATAATGCTTTGTTTATTTTAATCTTTTCACGAATGCTGTAATAACCATAAATCATTACCGGACAATATGAATCATGATCCATAATTCTAACATGATTATTAATTATTATAATCAAAAGAATAACATGATTATTAAATTACTCAACATTAATAAAATTAGATTATCCAAACCCTTCAAGGGAGGTTCTTTGATGCTCGAGTTGATCTTGATCCAAAGAAATGGACCTACACTCTACTTCTTGAATCAGTTATTTTTTTTTTTTTTTAACAAGTCGGCTGTCTCCCACTGAGGCAGGGTGATCCAAAAAATAAAATCCCCAAAAAGAAAATACTTTCATTATCATTCAACACTTTCACCTCACTCACACATAATTATTATTATAATAATAATCAAGGGGGAGTGCCTGTGGGGGATGTGGAAAGTATTCAGGCTTAATTCAGGGAACCAGAGCACAGATCCAATTCCCTAGATTAAGAGCCCCTCGCCAACATCACGAAACCTTCCTCGAGGAAACTTCTTGGACCAAGCCTCGATACCTCTCATTCCCCCAAAAGCTATAAAACTCCAATTGTTTTAGCTCCCCCAGTGAATATAACAGTTATGAAAACATTGTCCCCCAGCCCTACTGGGGGTAAGGGGTACTACTGTATTATGAAGTGGAAGGAAAATAACACACAATATGATATAAAAATTCTTATTCAAATGATGGAATGAAAATGTCACACCAGTTCCATAAGCACAAAGCATCAACAGGCAGTCAAGAATAAGAAAATGCTGCAATTCACCCATCTCAGAGCTCCCAGACTTTTAAAAAATATTTTGTCCATGACAGCATTTTGCTTTAAATTCCCACAAACAACAATACTGTACATCTAGCCATTCAAAGATTAATATGCTATTACTGCAAAAAGAATTACTGCAATTTTTTATGCTTCAACTAAGAGGTGCCTTGATGCTGGTGAGGGGGCTTTTGATCCAAAGATCTGGGCTTATCCCCTTGGATCAAACCTAAATCCCCTTTATTTCCCCAGGCACTGGAGGACCCCTATGGGTTTAGTGCTTCCCCTTGATTAAAAGCTCTATGCATCATCCTTCCAGCCTAGAAAATTCTTCACACAAAACTTAAGAAAACATCTTGAGATTTTTGTGGGCCAGGGTAATCCATATTATATTTATGAGGAAGCACTAAACCCATAAGTCATATAGTGCCCAACAGTTATTAATGTTTGATCCAAGGAAAGGGAGGCCAAGTCCAATGTGTAATCCATCAATACACAAATTAAAAGAATATTTACAGTTGTATCATAGTAGGGATATAAAACTGAAGGAAAAGGTCAAAGCATGGGGAGTTGGAACCTGAGGCTATACTGCACCTCAAGAATGGGAGGCATTCTTGTTCGATTCAAGGGGAGAAAGTGTAGTACTTGGAACCAAGAGCCCCTCACTAGCATCGAGACACCTCCCTTGAGGGTAGGAAAATGTCTTAATACTGTATTTTGCACATGAAAATTAGGCCATTATAAAAATAAATGATTAATGTTTAGTATCAAGTAACATGGGTCTGCATTTAACTTTTTCTTTTTCATACAGAAGATAAATTTAAAATAAGATGTACAGTACTTACATAACACACGCCATTACATCCAAATCTTTATCAAGATGATATTGATGCAGGCTGAGTGCCATGGGTAAGAAACAGCATGGACCTGTTGCCTTCCCTCTTATGCCAAGTTTTAAATAAACATTGACCTTATATGACCATGTACCTGCATCACTCACTTTACTGTCAATACCTATTCTCCCTTTAAACAGGTTTTCAAGTTTAAGGTTTTGTACAGTATTATATTAGTTATACCTTAGTCAAATGTAACAACTAAAGGTCAACTAAACTGAAAAATGAATTATGCCTGAACCTTAAATATGTTTAATTCCAGTTAAAGTATTTGTAAATATTTTCAGTATTCATAATACTTAGCATAAGATGCATGCTATTTTTACAAATAATACATATATAACATCCTACAAAGAATTCCTTACTCTGAAGAAATTTACATATATATATTAATTTTAAATTCACTTTAGGTCACAAGAAAGATACAATATGGCATAAAATGTAGATTTTATGTATGTACAAGAGCTCCACTTGATTTTTGTTAATCTACATTAATGGTCTGCAAGGACCAACTGACATGTCAGCATGAACACACTTACAGCATAAAGACTGTCCCCAAAAATATATACTATGTATACATAGCAATTACAGAAACAATAATGCTATTTATGCACCTGCATACACTTGTTGAGCAGTCAAGGTTGAGAAAAACCAATAAAATGGACAATATACCAGCACTGTAACTTTTGATTCTAAAGTGAACATACATTTTGCCATCTAAAGTTTTATTAGATGGTATATGTTTAGTGAAGAACCTTGACACTGCAATTACTAGATTGTTATAAACTATTTTTGCAACCTAATCACAATGATAAAAAGAAACTCCAAATACTTTCTTCATGTATTAATCACAATGAGCACACTTTAGGAAATTAGTAACAAGTGGCTTATACAGGTATATATATATACAGTATATAAAAGAGGACTGCACCTCATCTATGGACTGACCTGACTTCCTTATGACAATCAGATGAAACTGACTATCACCCAGGAATAAAGCTTTCATATTTTATTAATTACAATTAGACTCAGTTTATTACCAAACTTATGTTCAGATTACAATCAGCACTAGTTTTATACCTTTTTTATTTTGTTCAACCATTGATTAACACAACAATTTTCTTATTTCTCCACGATTATAATTAAAAATGGCTTCTGTGAATTAAGTGAAATCTTAGCCAGATAAATGTACTATAATATATTTTTGTTTAATATTAAACTTTTTCCACATTCTGTATGAAGAATCTTATGAATCCATGTTTTGAAGTACATTTCTAAAAAACATTAAAAAAAAATTCAGTAAATTAAGAATAATCAGGTTTACATAAAGCAGTTTTTTATTGCAAAAGATTTTGGGCATCTTATATTAACAGGTTATTTCATATACCTACATTTCTTGACCTATGAATTTTAGGCTACAAACTTAAAACTCAAAAACATATCAAAATTGTTTATTTATGCAAGATATAGGTAGTAGGTTGGTAGACAGCAACTGTCCAGCCAAGCGAGTGTAAAACAAAACCCTGTAATTGTTTTACATGATGGTAGGATTGCTGGTGTCCTTTTTTCTGTTTCATAAACATGCAAGGTTTCAGGTACGTCTTGCTACTTGTACTTACACTTAGGTCACACTGCACATACATGTACAGTAGACCCTCACCTAACGAATGCATTGCATAACGTTAAATCCGCCTAGCGATACATTTTAACGCAAAAATTTTGCCTGGGCTAGCGCTAAAAAACTCGCTCAACGCGATTCGTTCGAGACACGTCCACGTGCGGCCTGAGCCCACCTCACTTGTTCCGTGGGTGCCAGTGTTTACAAGCCAGCCACCGCGGTCGCTTCCAAGCATACAATTGGAACATTTCATATTATCACAGCCTTTTAAGTGACTGCACCTGCAAAATAAGTCACCATGGGCCCCAAGAAAGCTTCTAGTGCCAACCCTACAGAAAAAAGGGTGAGAATTACCATGGATATGAAGAAAGAGATCATTGCTAAGTATGAAAGTGGAGTGCGTGTCTTCAAGCTGGCCAGGTTGTACACAAAACCCCAATCAACCATTGCTACTATTGTGGCCAAGAAAACGGCAATCAAGGAAGCTGTTATTGCCAAAGGTGCAACTTTATTTTCGAAACAGAGATCGCAAGTGATAGAAGATGTTGAGAGACTGTTATTGGTGTGGATAAACGAAAAACAGATAGCAGGAGATAGCATCTCTCAAGCGATCATATGTGAAAAGGCTAGGAAGTTGCATGACGATTTAATTAGAAAAATGCCTGCAACTAGTGGTGATGCGAGTGAATTTAAGGCCAGCAAAGGTTGGTTTGAGAGATTTAAGAATCGTAGTGGCATACATAGTGTGACAAGGCATGGTGAGGCTGCCAGTTCAGACCACAAAGCAGCTGAAAAATATGTGAAGGAATTCAAGGAGTACATAGACAGTGAAGGACTGAAACCTGAACAAGTGTTTAATTGTGACGAAACAGGCCTGTTTTGGAAGAAAATGCCAAGCAGGACCTACATTACTCAGGAGGAAAAGGCACTCCCAGGACATAAGCCTATGAAAGACAGGCTTACTCTGTTGATGTGTGCTCATGCTAGTGGTGATTGCAAAGTGAAGCCTTTATTGGTGTATCACTCTGAAACTCCCAGTGTGTTCAGGAAAAACAATGTCCTCAAGGCTAATTTGCGTGTGCTGTGGAGGGCAAACAGTAAGGCATGGCTCACTAGGGACTTTTTCTATGACTGGTTACACCATGCATTTGCCCCCCCACTGTGAAAAATTACCTAACTGAAAAGAAATTAGACCTTAAGTGCCTCTTGGTATTAGATAATGCTCCTGGTCATCCTTCAGACGTGGCAGAGCGACTTTCTGCGTAAATGAGCTTCATTAAGGTCAAGTTTTTGCCTCCTAATACCACTCCTCTCCTGCAGCCCATGGACCAGCAGGTCATTTCCAACTTCAAGAAACTGTACACAAAAGCTATGTTTGAAAGGTGCTTTGTAGTGACCTCAGAAACTCAATTGACTCTAAGAGAGTTTTGGAGAGATCACTTTAGCATCCTCAATTGTGTAAACATTATAGGTAAGGCTTGGGAGGAAGTGACTAAGAGGACCTTGAACTCTGCTTGGAAGAAACTGTGGCCAGAATGTGTAGACAAAAGGGATTTTGAAGGGTTTGAGGCTAACCCTGGGAATTCTATGCCAGTTGAGGAATCTATTGTGGCATTGGGGAAGTCCTTGGGGCTGGAGGTTAGTGGGGAGGATGTGGAAGAATTAGTAGAGGACAATGACGAACTAACCACTGACGAGCTGCTGGATCATCTTCAACAGCAAGAGGCCAGACCTGAGGAAACTGCTCCGGAGGAGGGGATAGAGAAATTGAAGAAGTTGTCTACTTCAAAGATTAAGGAAATGTGTGCAATGTGGCTTAAAGTGCAAACCTTTTTTGATGAAAATCACCCTCACACAGCTATTGCAAGCCGTGCTGGTGACTATTACACTGACAATGTTGTGAAACACTTTAGGAATGTCATAAAGGAACAGGAGGTACAGGCCTCTATGGACAGATATGTTGTGCGACAGAGGTCCAGCGACTCTCAAGCTGGTCCTAGTGGCATTAAAAGAAGGGAAGTAACCCCGGAAAAGGACAGTCTCCACAGTCTCCCCTCCTCCCATCCCATCAATCATCACCAGATCTTCAATAAAGGTAAGTGTCATGTAACTGTTCATGTCTTCTTCAGTTTGTGTGTATTAAAATTAATATTTCATGTGGTAAAATTTTTTTTTTGTTCATACTTTGGGGTGTCAGGAACGGATTAATTTGATTTCCATTATTTCTTATAAGGAAAATTAATTCGGCTAACGATAATTTCGCCTAACGTTGAGCTCTCAGGAACGGATTAATATCGTTAGGCGAGGGTCCACTGTACAAGCATATACATACATACCCATCTGGGTTTTCTTCTATTTTCTTTCTAGCTCTTGTTCTTGTCTATTTCCTCTTATCTCCATGGGGAAGTGGAACAAAATTCTTCCTCTGTAAGCCATGCGTGTCGTAAGAGGTGACTAAAATGCCAGGAGCAAGGGGCTAGTAACTCCTTCTTCTGTATATATTACTAAATTTAAAAGGCAAAACTTTCATTTTTCCTTTTGGGGCACCCCACCTCAGTGGGAAATGGCTGGTGTGTTGAAAGAAGAAAGATTTTAATCATCAGGTGATTGGTTAATAACTATGAATAAGTGTTACAAGGAAATCAGTGACTGAAAAAAAAATCTCAAACAAATGCCAATTGTGATCTGAACTAAAGCCCAAAACATAAGCTGGGCACAATCACAATATTATTTTCATAAAAGCATTAAACCAGTATGGGCACTTAGTGCTATAGAACTATTCACTTGTTAATAAAACCTGTTATGCTAGTTTTCATCTATGATGACACACTAAGTTAGTGTCACACAACAGCCACATGGCAAAGTCCAGTTCAGAGGATGTGCAATCCTGTGTGCAAGCCACCTATAGCTAATTCCCTTAACTGTTCTCTTGAGAATGTGACTGATACATCACTAAAAGACTGAATTTGTTCATCTTTACAGTGAGTGTGTCAAATTTTCAAAGTATAAACATTCATGCAATACAGGACTAAGGTGAAGACTTCATATAATTATTAAATGCTTCTCTTTCACTTGGCAACAAGAGTAACTATCTCAATTGCCTGTATTTTATACCTTTTGTAGAAAAGCTGATAAATTTTAATATACAAAATATATATATATAAATCATTAACCCCCAATAACCACCTTTCCAAGAGGATTAAAACAAATGAAATCAAGATCAACATAATTAGTGATGAGTTGTGTAAAAATGTTCACCCATTTCCAAAACTGTCACGGTTGGGAAGGAGTGCTTTACGATTATTTTATGAGATGTAATATTAACCCTAATTAGACTAACATTTACTGATCATAAAGGAAAGAGGAATACTTACTATACCCTTTACATTTAGAAAGCTGTGATTATCTAAACAATCTAATAACCAAGATGCATAAAAATATAATTAAAAAAAAAATGAAACCCATCACCTCCAATTCCTATAATGAAATCACACATTCTTAATACCAAATCAAATGAGGCTCAAAATTAAAAATAAAATTATAGCTTTAATATCCTTTAGGACCACAGAAGTGAAATCACAAATTAAAGCGAGGCTTCTATATAAATAGAAACAATGATCAGCAATACTGACATTAAAGTGTCCTCTTACTTTGGCAACATTTGATCCAAAGTATATTTTGACTTCATACAAAATCATTTGGAAAATGATAAATTAAAAAAAAAAAAAACCCACCCACATGTAATCTGAATATAGCAAACAACAGATTTCAATTAGTATTCATCCTACATTAATGACAAAAAATAGTCCACGAGATCTGACTCTGTGCCAAGCTAAGTGATTTCCAGGACTGTAAATGTTTGTGAAAGCACGGACATCTATACAATCATGCATGCATACCTCTAAGTAAATACATATGAATAATCAGTTGCACGAGCACTAAAGTAGTCACATCCGCATTTGAACACGCTCATATACAGGTATACTGACACACAGACCATGCTGCAAGGGCACGTCTTTATTTTGCACTCTGTACACTTACCCTCATACAGTACCAGTTTTCAGCAGTTATATTTTGCATTAATTCATCTAAGCAAAATGTTTTTATTTGCTATTGTTTTCCCATTTAATAAATTAAAACACTAGAAGGCAGCTTTCCTTTAAATACTTTCTCACATTTTGAGTGGTATAAAATTGTTTAAGGAATTATTAAACTGCTTACATCAGATCCCATTAAAATTTTTATTAAATATCTTCAGTTTCAAATATTAAGAATCTTTTATATATGGAAATACTGTACCATGTAAACAATATTTATGAAAAAATTATATTTAAGTCCTTATTGTGTTTTGTCAGAGTTAAGGTATTCCACTTCATTCTCGATGTATAAGTACAAATATCCCTAAACCAGCTAATACAGCATACTGAAAAAGGAAAACGAAAAACAAATTAATGGTCACCAAATATTCATGTTTTAACAAATGATTCACTTATTAAAAGGCTGAGGGCTAAGCTAAATTTACTCTATCAAAACACTTGTCTAGACTGTACAGTAGGACCCCTGTATCCACAGGAATACGTTCCAAGGACCTGCCATGGATACCAAAACCGTGGATAGTAGCAAATCCTATATATACAAGTCCTATACATACCTACTATAAAGTTTAACTGATAAATTATGCATAATAAAGTGGAAAATTATTTTTCACTGATGGAAAGGACTTCACAGCTTCTTTAAGGCTTTGAAGAACTGCCAGCTTTTCTACTTTTGCACTTTGGGGCCATTATTATGCAGAATTAAGAGGCCTTTTTGGGCCACAGTAAACCGTGGACAACTAAAACTGCCAATACCAAATCAGTGGATACAGGGGTTCTACTGTATTTCATGAAGCACTTAATCTGTGTGGGTCATTCAGTGCAAAGTGTGGTGGAGGCTCAATGCTCTGTACACTTACCACATTCCAGTAGTTAATCAAAGAAACTGTAAAAGTTGCAAACTTCTTAATGTGAAGTGTATTTTGGATATCAATTTAAACAACAGAACACTAAATTGGAAAACTTTAATGAAAAAATACCGTTATTCAGTAAACAGTACTTCATATTAACCTTTTCACTGTTGTGACCCCTGAAATTAAGTGCTGAGCAACAATGTGTCTGTAAAAAAAGAATTTTATCTTTTAAAATGGTTGAGAATTTTTTTTTATGGAGACAAATGGCATTTTGGACATGACAAGCTGTTGGAGTGTGAGCAGGGTAATATTTAGTGAAGGGATTCAGGGAAACCGGTTATTTTTATATAGCCGACTCGAGTCCTGGAAATGGGAAGTACAATGCCTGCACTTTAAAGGAGGGGTTTGGGATATTGGCAGGTTGGAAGGATATGTTGTGTATCTTTATACGTATATGCTTCTAAACTGTTGTATGCCGAGCACCTCTGCAAAAACAGTGATAATGTGTGAGTGAGGTGAAAGTGTTGAATGATGAAAGTATTAAACCATACCCCCGGCCGGGATTGAACCCGCGGTCATAGAGTCTCAAAACTCCAGCCCGTCATTACGATTTCTTAAGTCATGTTGATGGCAGTGAAGGGACTTGAGCTAGAGTTCGTCACGGCCACGCTAGCTGGAGATTCGTCTGTAAAAACTTGCATCTGTGGTCACAGAGGTGCCTGTGCTAACTTTCCTATGGTGTAGAAATATACCTAGTTGGATGAATCTTATTGTGGCTAGCTGGTCTAGTGGCTAACGCGACGGGCTGGAGTTTTGAGACTACGACCGCGGGTTCAATCCCGGCCGGGGGTATGGTTTATTTGCAATCGTGTCATGAAAGTATTTTCTTTTTTGGGATTTTCTCTTTTTTGGGTCACCCTGCCTCGGTGGGAGACGGCCGACTTGTTGAAAAAAAAATAAAAAAAAAATAAACACCAAAAAAAATTTGAAATTTAATGAAAACTTCTGAAATTACACATGCATAAAGGCAGTGGTCTGAGTGTAATTTCAGCATCAGCATGAGACTTATTTCAAATGACCCAGTTCTTGGATATTAAATCCACCAAATAAATTGCCCATAAGTCGGTAATTTGGCCTAATTTAGAAAAATTCAATGAATTCTAATTTAGAAAACAAGTCCAAAGGAATGCTAGGCATTCCAGCTTCTAAACAACCGTTCCTCTGTTTACTAATCATGTTCCTTTGCCTTTGCTATATAATACAGTGTACTTGCCCTCCATATTGTATCCATGACCATAAAAAAAAAATTGTTTCCCCTATTTCTTAGATGATAAGATTTAACCAAGAATGAGTGGTCATGGTTTTGATTCACAAATAATTGAAGCAGACTTTGTAAAAACCCATGAAACAGTAGAAGCGCTTGGTACACAGGCTGTGAGGGCCCCTACTCTTCCTTAGGAAAAGGGCCAAAAATTGAATATTTCAGCTACTTTGAGACCTATTTCAGGCCACATCTGGTCTGAAACCAATCAAAATCGCTTTCATCAACTGACACCAAGAAATAGCCAATAAAATCATAAAAATCACCCTAGAAAACACCTTAAATTTGCTAATTTAACCCAAACACAAGGTTTGGGTTAAAATGGGGCAGAAATTTTTTTTTTAGTTTACACTCAATGAACAGACCTATTCTCTCATGCCTAGGACAAAATCTGCCAATTATAATACATTTAAGGGAACTACAATTAAGAATTAGATCTATGGAAGCAACACTGGCCTCAAATAATGCAGGGTTATGTAAAGGACAGTGAGAGGGGTTAAGAACATTTTTTTTTTAGATAGTATGATATTACTCAAATTTAAAAAAATATGTTAATAAACTCACCTTAAACTTTGGATAATCATTCATGATGATAGTCACTATGCCAATGAATGGAACATAGCCTCGCGCTCGTCCCACAACATCTTTGCGATTTAACCAAGCCTGTCCATTGGCATACAGACCACGATCATCTACATTATTGTTGTCACCCTTTGTCAAGAACTTTACAGTTCCATCTTCTCTGCAAGTAAAATATTAATAATTGTATATATGCAACAAAGAATACGTGTATTCAAAATATGTTTAGTTTATATGACTGACCAAGTTAAGAACACTGTAGCAACATACTTTTCATGAACCTTCATGACACGATGAACAATTGGAATATCTCGTCCTTCAACCTTAAAGACTACAATCTCCCCAGCACGGATGGGTTCGTGGTCATAGTTGGTTAGGAAGAGAAGATCCCCACGATGAAATGCTGGTTCCATGCTCCCACTGGTAAATGCAAAACAATTTTAAATATATTTTTAGTTTACCACTATTGATCACAGATTTTTTTATCCTTCACAATAGGTCAGAGCTGCCCTAGCACAAAATTGCACAATTAAAATAATTGCAACTGGCCTGTGCAAAAACAATTATCAGTGGATGGAATAACAAGGAAAAAACTGCACTTGTTAACCCTCCTTTCTGATGTACAGAATATCAAATATTTATGAATATAGTATAGTTGCAGTTAATGAGTATGTGGAAGTTAGAGATTTTTTTTTTTTGTAACACACTGGGCACTCTCCCACAGAGGCAGGGTGACACCCCCACCCCAACAACAAAATCTTTTTTGGTATAAACCTTGGTAATAAATACCGACAAGTTGGTTTAGAAAGACACGTAAGCAAACACTAACATATTTATTAGAAAACGTTTCGGTCCTGGGACCTTGATCACTTCTAACATACAGAGGTAGAAAGACATTATATATATATAGGCGGAGAGTGAGATGTGACGCACGTGACCTGAGGAAAGTCATAAGAACATAAGAATGGAGGAACACTGTAGAAGGCCTACTGGCCCATGCGAGGCAGGTCCTTATCAAAACAACCTCATCATAGGCAGAGGTTGTTTTGATAAGGACCTGCCTCGCATGGGCCAGTAGGCCTTCTACAGTGTTCCTCCATTCTTATGTTCTTATGACATTCCTCAGGTCACGTGCGTCACATCTCACTCTCCGCCTATATATATATAATGTCTTTCTACCTCTGTATGTTAGAAGTGATCAAGGTCCCAGGACCGAAACGTTTTCTAATAAATATGTTATAGTGTTTGCTTACGTGTCTTTCTAAACCAAAATCTTTTTTACACTTAATAATTTGGGTAACTGTCTCAGTGTGAAATGGCCAATGTCTTGATAAAAAAAAAGTAATTTATACAGAATGGGTTACTAGCCCCTTGTTCTTGGCATTTTAGTCGCCTCTTATGACACACATGGCTTACGGAGGAAGAATCATTCTCCACTTTCCCCCATGGAAATTCACTTCCATGACATTGCTTATATGAAATATCAGTTAAAATCCTCTATTATTCCCTTTACAAAAGCTTAAACTATTTAATACTACAGCAAAAGCATACCTGAGCACCACTACAATGGGACTTTCACTGCCTGTGACAACCATCAGTCCCTTCCAAATCATAAGCGCTGATGAAACTATCATAGCAAAGTTCAGCACTTGATAGAAGAGCTGAAAAAAAAAAAAAAGGACATGGTTGTTGCTGCACTTTAAAAATGCATAATTAGTATGGTACATAATTACTACAGCATATCAAAGTACTCTACACTATCTCTGATGGTTTGTTGATAGAAATAAATGAAAAAGTAAAATGGAGTGGAATCATCCCAGCAAGGGTTGGAGGAGAAATGTGATGTTTTAACCTGTAAACTGTCCAAACGTATTACGTTCTCTACCCCAGTGCCCCGAATATTTTGAAAAATAAAAAAAATAAATTTTTAATGAAAATAAAGAGCACATTTTTCCAAGTGTTATAGGATGAAAAAAAAAAATTAGGATCAGTACTTACTGAGATACGAGGCTGCAAAGTTGGCACTTAATGCTCACCTGACGGCAACACAGAGTCCTGCCGCTTGCAGAACTGTTGCCGATATACCATTTCTCATTTTTATATTTTATATAATTTTTATGTACTGATAATTACAATTTATAGTAGTTCTAGTCATTTCATAACCAATCTTTGTTCTCACACTAATATTAGGTGCTGAAATTGTACTCATATTGTCACAAACACATTGACAGGTGGACATTTACTCCTGCCCTGGTCATTTACTCTATGTATATATCCATGCATGTACATATGCATACTTGTAAATTTATTTATACATACAATTTATGCATACATGTGCATGTACAATACATTTCTATTGCCATCTGGAAGGAGATTCATTTGTGAAAACTTGCTAACCTTCCTATGGTGTATAAATATACCTAGCTGTATAAATATACCTAGCTGGACGAATTTTACTGTAGCCAGCTGACCTAGTGGCTTACACAATGGCCTGGAGTTTTACAACTAACTTGCCAGGAGTTCTAACCCCACCCGTACCGTCGTTTGTTTGCAATCACATTATTACAATTTCACGAGTCACAAGTTCAGATGACCCTTGAAACCTTGTAAATGTTAATACCCTTAAAGCTTTTTTAATCATGAATAATTTTATGGATATGATGAGAATTTAAAGAAATTCCAGTTAAAGAAAACTTTAGTGAATGTTTTGCATGTATAACAGGCTGTTGCAGACAAAATGCCTTAAAGAAAAATTCTCATTGGACTCGCATAGAACTTGATGGTACACCTGGTTACTTTTGATAGTTATATTCAAAAGAAAAATTTAATATAACAATGTCTAAACAAAACCTACTTATTATGACGAACATTTTGGGAAAACTAATCCTAGAATTCACATACTGTACTATAATACTTAATTCTAGTCACAATATATAATTATAGGCAATACCAGATAATTTACATGAAATCAATGATGTGCATTTTATGGAACGATAGAATTATAGTGGTGACAATACTGAACGAGTATTTACAGGCATTTACTGGATAAAATATTTAAGTAAAATTTAATAGGCTTCTTTTTTTATTTTTTAACAGTGTTAAGCTGTTGGGAGATGGGAAATTGTTGGTATTTTGAGTCAGTAAGTGCCACAGTTTGGGCCTTTTATTTGCATGGAGTTTCTGAACAAGTCGAGTTGTACACACGGTAGTATATCAAAGAAACACTTGCAGCTTGCATCCTTGTATGCAAATAAAGTTTCTTTTACCCGTTATTTGTGACTTACGTACAAACTGTCAGTATTCATATTACATTATTTTTTATGCCAAAAATATAATGAGGCTTTTGTGTCAAGTGCCTGCATTAAATAAAGTTGATTAGAAAACAAAATATTAAAAAAAAGACAAACCTTATTTGGGAAGAGCTGCACCTATTTTTGACGTGAAAATATACAGTGATCTAGAAAACACATTTTCATTTCATTTTAATCACATAAAGCACCTGGGAGGCATTCAGATTTGATCCAAAGAAGGGAAGGGGAAGTCCAGTTTGTTTATATAAGATCCCTTCATTTATGGGGCAGAATGCATATCGAGGTTTCAGGCATACAACTACATTACACACTGTAGATTTACCCTAGGGCTGTGGCTCGTATGTCGGTTTATATGCGGCCAGCAGTAACAGCCTGGATGATCAGGCCCTGATCCACCATGAGACCTTGTCACAGACCGGGCCACAAGGGCACTCGCCTCCAAAATCCCCTCCAGGTATAGGATCATCTAAGTTACTATTATAATAAAGAAGCGCCAAACCTACAAGGGTCATACAGCACAGTGGATATTTGTTATATCTCACTGTATTTCCATGAAGCAATAAACCCGTGTGGGTCATTCAGTGTGATGTCTCTTAAGGCATTTGATGTACCATTTAGTTTGATATTTAAGATGTAAACTACATGTAATAAAACATTATTAGGCACAAAAGAAAGCAAATAATATAAAATATAATTCTGAAATACCACTTGCAGTAGAGTAGTGCACTTGTACTTTCAAATTAAGTGTAACAAACCTCTAATCCAAAGAAAATCTGGGCTGGATACATAGTACTAATACTGGATATTTACAGAAAACCCTGTCATCCCCCTCAGCACCACCTGGATGGCAGCTGGACCTTGCCATCTGCCAAAACTTTTGACATACGACAACGTGTGGCAGAGGCCAGACCCCAGCTGTACCTCCACACCATCTTAACCTCCTACCTCCTGGTTACAGTTACAACTCTAACAACAAAACCAACCTGACGTATGTTCATACGTCTCAAATCATCCAGGAAATCTAACTGAAGCATGTTGGTGGTGTAAATAAGAGGTCAATGTATGGAGTGTTGATCCCGGCGTTCCCAGAGGATGTTTACGCTGCTGCTGGTGGACATCTACCTTATTATCTATCTAACTCCTCTAACCTCACTAGCCCACTAACAATCACTACTTAAAAACACCATTTACATTTATAGCTCCCTATTTCTGAGGTATATCTCTTAAATTATCCGTGCTGAAATTAATAAGGAGATAAATAACTAAATGTAAATGATGATTTATCTAGTGGCTCATGTGGGAATTAATGGTTTTTATTTGTGGTTTGGAAATAATATTGCTAGAATTGTGATGGTGGTTATTATGATGGTTAAATGGGTAGTTTATAAGAGTATGTTAGTAGAGATGGTTTAGGCAGGTAGTGATGTAACAACAAAGTGACGTGGGAGTCCAGGGTTGGTACAGCGTGGCAGACACTATTATAACACTTACACCTCATCTCTAGTCTCACCATCACTGTGTCACCACTCACCATTGCTCATACTCTTATCTTCTCTCACAAGTGGTGCTTACATCAGTCATCAAGGCCTTGTTAGCTCTCAGGAATACCTATACAGTTCGTTAAAGTGGTCCTCACACCAGTCATCAGTAGGTAAGTTTATTTAGGCACAGACACATGTAAGTACAATTATCATAATGTAAATTACCTAGGATAACCCAAAGAAGTCAAACAAAGTGACTTATTTACAGTCATCGAGGACTTCTTAGTTCTCAGGAACACCGTTACAGTCTTCAAGGACCCCGGTGGAAATAATTCACTTTTGTCTATTTTTTGGGGGTAAATTATCATACATACTACACATATGTGGTGGTATGTATGATAATTTATGTAACTGTATTTGTGTGTACCTGTACCAGCATAAATTTATCTACTTATTCACTATAATTGTGCTCATCTCAGTTATCAAGCCTTTTAGTAAGTTTATTTAGGTACAGGTACACATAAGTATAATCATTTTACATAGTGTAAATTACCTAGGATAACCCATAAGTCAAAGTGACTTATTTCCATTGGGGTCCTTGTTAACTCTCAGCAACATCAACTTTATTGTGATCTATTGTATCTGCCACTTTCCAACTTAGAAACTTTACCTTGGGTATGAACCTTATATAAGTCTAAATCTCAGAATTCTTGAGAGCATAATGAAAATGAACGAAGACCCCAATGTTAGTAAGTCGCTGGCTTTTTTGGGGGGTTATCCTAGGTAAAATACACATATGTTACTATGTATGATTGTACTTATATATACTTGTACCTAAATAAAGTTAAAACACAGGTTAATTTTGTTGGGTTATACTAAACTATATCATCTGTACCTATAGCAAATGAAACCAATGGAAAATATATGATCTTGAGAAATCATTTACATATTTAACATGAATTCAATTCATCTTTTTTGGTCAATATTCGGTTTACTGCTTGGTATTTTTTTTTTTATGTAAATTCTCTAATGTTGTGTTGTGCAGTTCAGTTATGAAAGACATGAAGTAGTAGAGTGAGAGGTAGTTACATTTTGTGCTAATGGGGAAAATGGTTTTTTGAGGAACAAAAGCTAACCTAACCTAGAATTTAACTCCTGGTCTAGATTAGCTAACATTAAGTTCAGTTGCCAAAGAAAAGGCTTTGTTCCTATTTTCCCAAACTATAATTTTCTATTTCATAACCTGCTTAATACTAGGGAATGTACATAATACACTATCAATAAGCTAAATATTAGTGTGCCTAATATTTCCTAAAAAAATAAAAAAAAAAAGCAATGATTAATTTTCCAGTAGTATGGATCATTTTAGTGCTTTAAATTATAAAATGTTGCCACAGTTCTAACTCAAAAAGAAACCAAAATTTTTTTTTTTTTTTTTTTCTTTTTAAGGGGGCCTATATTCTGGTTGTCCCTTGGTGAGAACCTCTACCATGTTTATTACACACTCTGCATCTTGCATTTATTCCAAATCACACAATTCTGAATTTTAAAAAATTTAAATCCTTATTTAAATTGTTCATTCCTTTGTTAATGTATTATTTATAACTGCCAAATTATATGATTCAATGGTCTACATATTGCTAGTACAGTATGTGTGTAATTTTGAAACCTGTATTATCATATATATAGTGAAACAGTTTAGCTACTGAAATATGTAAATATTAAAATTTGAGAATTTACCATGTATGCACTGTACACTGCATAATTATGACATTAAGTTCTTTAATGAATCTTGTTCCTAATTTATTGTGTACAGTTCTTATACGCAAAAATGAAGTGGATGATAAGGATGCTACTGATGGTAGTCGGAATGGTGTTATTGATAGCAGACACACGGAGTCAAGACAGCCAGTTGGCAGTGGTGGAGGCAGATGATGATCAGGACCAAGATAATGAAGTAACTGTTGAAAGCTTTGAATCAGAGAAGCCTAGTGACATGAACAAAATATTCATTCCTACCAGAGAATGGCAAGTTATAAAGCCTGGTGAGTTTTTCTTAATTTTATTTTTTTGAACACATATGTCAAGTAGGAAAAATGTCATAGCTACATATATATTTTGTGTGCAGTTCTTATATTTCTCGCATAGAATATAGACTAGAGAACACCATACCGTCCAAAAGCAAGTCATAATCTCTGGGAAGTGTTGGAATGTGGTTTTCTTCATCCTCATTGGGGAAGAGAAGGCTGGGACTTGTGGGGTAAGAAAAGACATTATTTTTCAATATGAATGATGCTTTGGACACCATAATAAAGTACAGTATATAAGAGTAATTCATAATAAATATGCCAATTTAGTCTGTACACCCAGCACAACTACATTTGTTATTGCAGGAAGTTGCTATTAAGGAATGCACTTGAGACCAATTATATGGCTTTATTAAACTTGATTGACTTTGTTGAAGCGTGTTATCTATCTTATATTCGGAGGTCTCATACTAGAACTATTAACTACATATTTACTATACAGTAGTGTATTACTGCATTTTTCATGTATACGTCTAAACTGCCATATCTGTGCACCTCTGGAAAGACAGTGATAGTGTAAATGATGATGGTGAAAATGTTTCTCTGGGTCACCCTGCCTCAGTGGGAGATGGCCAGTGTGTTAAAAAAAAAATAAACATAATGAGTATCAGCAAGTTTACAGCAATGATCTACACGTATATGAAATTAGTTTCACTTGAATGCTGCTTGACTAAGTATTTTATAATACTCTAAATTTAATCTCTCCTCTTTTGTGTCTAGAGCCCAAAGGCCTAGAATATTTCCTCGTTTCCTCAACCCCCTTTGTTCCTATTATACAGTATAATAATTTTGTGCTGTAGATGGCATTCTATAGCCTAATTTTAGAGCTGTTTAAATGTATGTAACATTTTACTACAGATGCCATTATTTTCTTGCATTACATAATTGCAACTATTTTTTTTTTTTTTTTTTTTTTTTGACACCAGCCATCTCCCACCAAGGCATGGTGACCCCAGAAAAAAAAAATGTAAAAATTTGTTTTACATTTAGTAATTTATACAGGAGGAGTTACTAGCCCCTTGCTCTTGGCATTTTATTGCCTCTTAAGACACACATGGCTTAGAGGAAGGATTCTTCTCCATTTTCCCATGGAGAAGCTTAGTGTTAACTATGTAAATAGTTGCACCACTTAAAAGTACTGAAAGTGTTAATTTCCTATTTCAAATAAATTTGTAATGAGTGGCTTTCACAAAAAAAAAAAAGATTTTTTACATTGCCAAGTTATAATGTTTTAATTGATTTTTCATTAATCATTTTCACAGATCACGTGGTACTCCCAGGTCTCCATATAAGGATGAACCTCCAAACAGGATTGAAAGAAGCTAAGCTTTTGGATGATGATGATGGGTCAGAATATCTACAGTCTGTAGAGAGACTGCAGAAGTCAGAACACAAGAGTGTTACTGGAATGACTGTTTCCGATGTCTCTAACCCAGAGGAGGTTCCCATTAATGAAGATGATGAAGATAGTCCAAGATCTGCATTTATGAGAGAGACCATCATTGAAGCTCTTAAAAATATCAGGAACGATGATGGTTTGACCTCAGAGGTGAGTGATGTATAATTTTATTTTTTTGTTAAAGAATCTCTAGTGACCCAAGTCAGGATTTTTATTTAAAATAGAATTGCACCTTGCCTATCACTTAGGCATTTGAAGGTTCTTCATGATTTACCTGATGCTTAAAAAATTGTTGGATTTTTTTTTTTTGTTAGAGTTCTCTGAAGTTTTACAGGGCCTCAATAAAATTTAGAAATAACATTGAAAAAATGCAATTACTCGTAAATATGCAGTACAGTGTATTTAAAAAATCAAGGTAATAATTAATAATGAAATGCATGCTTTAAATAGTTTTCAAAGTTCTCTTAGTTCTTTGGTTTTAATGTTGCATTAGAAAGTTTAGATACAGTAAGTAAAAACTAGTGTATTATTAGATAGCTGAATATGAATGGCTCAAATTGCAACAGAATATGACTGAACCCTTGTTTTTGCAAGAGTTAGAGAGACTGTTGCATTCTCTGTACAAGTTAAATAACACTGTTTATAATAGTGTACATTAGTACAGAAATTTTATGGAATCTTGTGAGCATTGTTAAAGATTTATACCATACATTTTGAATTTGAGGAGTAAGGAGGGTGAACTCTTAGTTTTTTTTTCCTTCCTGTGTTGGTTAACCAACATGAAATAATTGAATTGTATTCATTTGAACCCCTGCATTGAAAGCTGCTAATGCCTTTGCCTCACAGACCATTTGGGTCATATAAATTGTTTGCCCCTGGGAAGTGATGAAGCTTGTGGGCTCTACAGTGTAAAGGATGTAGGTGTTTGGGTAATCCAAATAATCATTTAAGATGATTCTCTCTGGATTAAACATATTCACCTTAGGGAGGTTCCTTGATGCTAGTGAGGAGCTCTTCTTGCAAGGAATGGACTTATCCTTCCCTTATTTGGATAATCTGATTTCCTCCCATTTTCCAAGTAAGGTATGACCCCCCTATGGGCTTTGCACTTCTCTCAATATACAGTATAGTAAAAATAGTTTAGATTGAGGATAGGAGCCATACAAATTTGTAGCATACTGATCCCTCAAGTGGGATGCTGGTAAACAGCTTGTGATCCAAGGAATTTGAGTTACCATGCATTTCCTTAGATCATATCTGATTACCACCCACTTCCTAGGCTGCTGTATGACCTCTACAGCTTTAGTATATCCTTATGAATATAATACTAATAATAAATTTTGGAATTAATATAGTTTTTCCTTATTTTTAGGACCATAAAGAAGCAGCAAAGTCCCAGGGAAAGTTTCGTTCATATAAAGAATTAAAAAAAGATTTTGATGAGTTGAATCTTACCGTGGAAACAGATTTTGATATATTATCAAAATTAATGAAACGGTACCAAATATCGGATTCAGATGATATTCGTACCAGTGTTCTTGAAGATTTGGAATACCTTGTTCATCAGTTTGACAATGCCATCAATTTTGTTGATATGGGTAAGTTGTATTTTGATACATCGTTTGCTTATCTCAATTTTAAAATTTCAGAGTTGGTTCTCTTTTTACATTGTCATTCTGCCACATTTTTTTTTTTCAACTTGTCAGCCATCTCCCACCTAGGCAGGGTGACCCAAAAAAGAAACACTACCATCATTCAACACTTTCACCATTATTACATAAATATATTGTTAACAGATAGCTGAATACATTCTGTTTCGATTCTATTGTACCACATAATATGTATTAAAAAGTCTTGGAAATTTTGGTCCAAAAATCATCACTTTTGTTTTAAAGAAGTTAATTTAGGAAATGCCTAGTAGAATTTGAATGTTGTAGATATTAAGGAAACAATCCAGTTTTCCTTTTCTTCCTTTTTTTTTTTTTTTTTTTTTTTTTTTTTTTTTTTTTTGACAGATACGACTGACAGCTTATTTGACATTAGTAACTAAGTAAGGTCTCCAAAGTAAATATTAGAGAAACCCAGGTTTGACTGTTAAAAATTAATACTGTCTTCAGTTTTAATCTCCATGGGGAAGTGAATCCTACCTCCCACAAACATGCATGTCATAAGGGGCAATTAAAATGCCGGGAGCAAAGGGCTAGTCACCCCTTCTCCTGTGCAAATTACTAAATGTAAAAAGAAGAAAACTGTACGTTTCTTCTTTTTTGGGTTACCTTGTCTCGATGGGAGACAGCAGTTATGTTAGAAAAAAAAATTAAAAGCCTGCTTTAACTCACAGTATTTAGAATAGCGTCTATTAAAAAGCACAGTAACAGGGGCAATTGCAAAATTCAGTGTTATGTTTTTGTTTTAAATTTTTGTATTCATCTCAGGTGGACTCCAACAGATTGTAGTAACAGCAATAAATTCCAGCAGTAGTTCTATTAAACAAAGTGCTCTTCATCTGTTGGGGTCAGCAGTTCAAAGTAATCCAAAAGTTCAAATTGCTGCAGTCGAGGCTGGCTTGGTTCAGTCACTCATCCGTATAGTTGCCTATGATTCACAGGTCAGTTCTCTTGTGTATGTTTTATGCTGCAGTAGTTTCATTTCCTCTAAATACAAGTACTATATGCATGCATACAATCTTAAATATGAGCTTTACCGAGTATAATAGAATAATATTTAATATAATACATGTTATGTCATGTAATAGAAAATAAACTTGAGTTTCTAGCAGGCCTTAGTCTTCTTAAATACCCAGCCAGTACTGCCTTGCACCTGACCAGTCTGTAGATTTTATATAGACTTGATAAAGCTCTAGGGAGAAAAATTGCCCAATAAAAAGGCTCGCACTGTTGTGCGTGTTGTACATTCATAGTTCGTTGGCTACTTGCCATTCATTACCTTAATTGTAGTGGTTATTTAGTAGCAGTTGGAGGAGTGGTGATATTGTTGGTGAACAAATGATTAGCAGCTTTAGAAGTTAAGCTGCTTGCCAGGCTGGAAGCGGTACTATTCAGAATTTATGATGACTAATGAAAATGCTAGTGCTCGTTAATCTTCTATACAAATCAGAATTATGTTTAAATAGCTAATGGTGAATGCTTCCCTGCTATAATCACTGGCCTGTGTATTTACAGGACGGTGTTGCACGGAAGGCTTTGTTTGCATTATCATGTTTAGTAAGAGGATTTCCCTATGGTCAGCAAATATTAGTGCAACATGGGGGACTGGAGGTCTTGCGCAAAGTGTTTGACAGAAGAGACTTTCGAACTTTACCTCTCCAGCTTAAGGTCAGTTTCTGAAGATTTATTCTTAGTCAGTAAAGTGTTTTAGCAGACCTAGTATTTGGTTACTTTTAAAAGTACATTGAGAATTTTCCTCTCCCCTCTTGTAGAGAACTGCTCCCACACCTACCCTCCTTCCAGTTAGAGCTACTCCAACTTGCCTCCCAGTCATGTTATGAAACGTATGGTGTGGTATTAGGGTTACTTTATACAAGCCTGACATAATCTAGGGAAAAATTAAGAACCTTACATATCTCTAAATCAAATGTTTATTAATCTTTTTAGGTGGTATCTCTTCTGCATGACCTTTTAGTGGAGCGAGAGGAAGCAGAAGGTGAAAGACTACAGCAGCTTCTCCGCCTCAACATATATGAGCAACTTGCAACAGGAGGGTGGTGTCCAGCAGTATCTTCACTACTAGCAGCTGCCTCCTTTGACCGGCGGGATCGGCGCTATGACATGGGTGCGGCATTAAGGAATGAAATGCCACTGAGACCGGATCATGATACGGTGAGCTAGGCATTCAGTAAATTGTGTATTCATTTCAAAAGACTGTATTAGAAAGTTTTATGGCAGATTTTAATATAAATATGGGAAAAAACCATCTTTGGTAATACAGTATTGGCATAATAGAATGGCAGAAATTAAGATGGGTATTTTGAGCATACTTGGGCTTGGAATACGTGTTGAGGAAATTACAGGTTTGAAGCTTATATTAAATGATGGGGACATTAAATTGGGCATTTTTTTTTTATAAACCAAAATATCATTTAGGTTGCAAGTGCTTGCAGCTTGATCTGACATAGGTATTGCAGCTCAGCTGATCAGTAGCAGTTAAGTTACAGCTTGAAAGATGGTGCTGGAAAGTGCTGGACCATTTATATTTAACTTTTTGTCCCATGTTTATTGCACCTGTGCATTTCATGAGGGTCAATTTTCAGTCTACCATTGTAAGGAATATTTTTTTTTTTTCTCTCTCTCGACAAATCGGCCGTCTCCCACCGAGGCACGGTGACCCAAAAAAGAAAGAAAATCCCCAAAAAGAAAATACTTTCATCATTCAACACTTTCACCACACTCACACATTATCACTGTTTTTGCAGAGGTGCTCAGAATACAACAGTTTAGAAGCATACACATATAAAGATACACAACATATCCCTCCAAACTGCCAATATCCCAAACCCCTCCTTTAAAGTGCAGGCATTGTACTTCCCATTTCCAGGACTCAAGTCCGACTATATGAAAATAACCGGTTTCCCTGAATCCCTTCACTAAATATTACCCTGCTCACACTCCAACAGATCGTCAGGTCCCAAGTACCATTCGTCTCCATTCACTCTTATCTAACATGCTCACGCACGCTTGCTGGAAGTCCAAGCCCCTTGCCCACAAAACCTCCTTTACCCCCTCTCTCCAACCCTTTCGAGGATGACCCCTATCCCGCCTTCCTTCCCCTATAGATTTATATGCTTTCTTTTTTTATAAGTTGCAAATTCTGAACCAGTGTACTATTTTCCAGGTGTATGTTTGAGAGACTTGCACTTCAGGAAGATCAGTTTAGTAAATGAAATTCATTTTATCTTTGGAAAATATCTCTTGCATTTTCCATTGATAACTGTAAAGACCCCAATGCACCCTGGGTTTTCTTTGATTTGTGATGCTGTAAATATTCATCCTTTTATAATTAATTTAAATTGCTTGGTTTCTGTTTTTCACTAACTTGCTATCCCCTTGAGGGAGGTTCCTTAATGCTGGTGAGAGGCTCTTGATCTGAGGAATTGGACCTGTTCTCTCATTCCTTGGATTGAACATAATTGCATACCATTTCTCAGATGAAAAAAAAAAAAACTCGTTAAATTTTAAAACCTAAAATATTTTAAAAAAATATCATGATCTTTAGGTCTTCCCCTATGTTATGCCTTACTTCTATGGTTTGAGAAGAACATTTCATGCCCTCATCCCAGTATTTATTAAAATTATTTCCTTTATTAGTGATCCCTGAAGGTGACCTCACCTTTTCTTTAATATTTTTTTCTTTACTCATTGCAATGTCTGTTTAATGAACTGTTACTTTACAGGTGGACAAAGTTATAGCAGCTATGGGCAGTATGGTCAATGTTTGTCGCTACCAGTTCTACGATGCTCTACCTCTGCTGAGACACCTAGCTCATACCTACGATGATTTGGCATACAAGGAGCAGTTTCAAGACAATGATGATGGGGGTCAAGCATTATTCAGGAGTCTTGCTGATATGATCCAAAGACTTGTGAAGAATATAGGCCAAAGGAGTGAATTATAAACTCAAAAATTGATCAGTTTTGAAAGTACAAAAAAATGCCTGAAAATTTTGTTTTTGTAGAAGCAAATGGCTTCTGTTACTGAGGAGTTCCTATTGGTATACCAATGTTAAGCTACAAAAGCACAAAAGTATGCCATTCCTGCTTCATCTGTAGCTATCTAGAAGTTTAATTTATCATCCAAAAGAGCAATTTGTTAACGTAAACCACTAACATTTTTACGTATTCTTGCTCTCCAAGGTCAAGTGTACATAGATTTGTGATGCCCATGGTTAAGTAGCATCTCAATTTAATACCTGCAACACATCTACAGTTGATTTTTCCTCAACTGGACAGGTGTGCATGATGCATGGAAGGTTGAATTTGACTGTTCTTGATAGTTACATAAGCTAGCCAAAATACACACTTGACAAATCATTAACATGTGCTGGTAATGAAAGCCGTTTGATCATGAAGGCACACGATATTTTTGGATTTTTTCAAATGCTTTTTTGTATTATTCATGTGCGAGTATTAACACTAAGAACAGAAGGTGTTCACCTTTTAATGATCAGTTACATGTAACACTTGTGCAAACAGCATGTTTATGATGGAAAATATATCTTCAGAGTCCTCTGCTGCCTCATAAAGCTCTTTCATATGGACTGAATCTTCATAGCCACTTTAATATATGCAGCCCTTGTGTATAAACTGTATATGAACATTCCTTAAAAATAGCATGAGCTCTGGTTGTGGCCTTTCACAGTTGGGTCACTGCATGTAATGGCCTTCATCCATATTTCAGTTTTTCTGGCAGCAGCAGCAGCAGCAGCTTGTCAGAATAGACTGAATGAACCTCACATCATTGAATAAGGAGCTTCCTTATATTGTCCTTTCAGGTACTTTATTTCTGGCACATTTATGCTTTACATTTTGTACCCTTGAGGTTATTGTTCAGGTTGGGTGTCGTCATCTGAAAATTTAGCTGATTTCTAGTATTTCAGCTTCCCTAGTAGTGTACAATGATTGCAGACTTTGTGGAGAGAGAAACTCAGATCTAAATGCCCATCAGTGTAAGTGATGATTTTGCCCCTACACCTACTGTGGATGATAATGCAAGAACATATGGAAACACAAAAGGCCTAAGAACTAAGGGTTAACAGAAATAAATCTAGATATAGGTAAATTATATTCTGTTTAAAGCCCGGACTATTTGCCTCCAATGTCCGATAGGTTATTTTCATTAATGAGATACCTTACCATATGACTTAGTTTATTGCTGTTTATCTTCGTATTCCTCAATAGGTGGACAATTAAGCACATAGTGTTAATGACTAAGTTTAAACACACTTTGCATTTAGTCTGATAATTGCATACTGTATTCTGATACCCAACCTAAGCTTGACTACTGGAACAACAGTTGGTTTACTTACATTAGAAACTGCTTCTAAATGTGCTTATCGTATGAACTCTAACTTCTAACTATTTATACAACATTCGCATTATTTCTCTCCTGTGGTTTTAGCACTTAGTTTGATATTATTATTATTTCTCTCCTAATGTTTCTAATGCTTGATATAGCCATACCAAAGTTGTATTTAACTTTTGTCTTTCAAGGTACTAATTTATCAGATTTAACATGTAGGAGCATTTTAATGTACTATAATGGAATCCTTAAGACTATCTGATTTTTTATATCTATACAGTGGTCCCCCGCTTTTCGTAGTTCCCGGCATCGTAAATTTCGCCAATCATAGGGGTATTTTCGTATAAACATGGACTCGCTTTTCATAGGTTGACTCGCAAGTCGTAGTTTGTCCGGGGACAGGTACCCACGGCGTGAGCCGGGGCAGCAGCCAGTCTGGCATTGTTTACCAGTGAGCGAAGGTCCCCTCACGTGCTCCAACGAAATATTTCATAATATTCCATTCATTTTAGTGCTTGTAAGTACTAAATAAGCTACCATGGCTCCAAAGAAAGCTCCTAGTGCCAAGCCTGTGGTAAAGAAGGTGAGAAATACGATTGAATTTAAGAAAACCATCATTGAACAATATGAAAGTGGTACAAGTGTGGCCGAACTGTCCAGGATGTATAAGAAACCCTACACAACCTTATGTTCCATAGTGGCCAAGAAAAAGGAAATCAAGGATGCTGTTGTTGCAAAGGGGGTAACTATGCTGACAAAAATGAGATCACCAGTACTCGAAGAGGTTGAGAAGTTATTATTGGTGTGGATAAATGAGAAACAATTAGCAGGAGATACTCTTATGACTTCGATTATTTGTGAAAAGGCTAGGCAGTTGCATGAAGATTTGGTAAAGAAATTGCCTGCAAATAGTGGTGATGTGGGTGAATTTAAGGCCAGCAAAGGCTGGTTTGAGAGATTTAAGAACCGTACTGGCATACACAGTGTGGTAAGGCATGGTGAGGCTGCCAGCTCGGACCATAAGGCAGCTGAAAACTGTGCATGAATTCCAGGAGTACATAGAGGCTGAAGGACTGAAACCTGAACAAGTGTTCAATTGTGATGAAACAGGCCTCTTTTGGAAGAAAATGCCAAAGAGGACCTTCATTACACAAGAGGAAAAGGCAATGCCAGGACACAAGCCTATGAAAGACAGGCTGACGCTAATGTTCTGTGCTAATGCTAGTGGGGATTTCAAAGTGAAGCCATTACTAGTGTACCATTCTGAAAATCCCAGAGTGTTCAGGAAAAACAATGTTATGAAGAGTAAATTGTGTGTGTTTTGGAAATCTAATAATAAGGCATGGGTCACGAGGGAAATTTTCGTCGAGTGGTTCAATGAAGTGTTTGGCCCTAGTGTGAAGGAGTATCTCCTGGAAAAGAAATTGGATCTCGAGTGCCTGTTAGTAATGGACAATGCACCTGCTCATCCTCCAAACTTGGATGACCTAATTTTCGAGGAGTTTGGGTTCATCACAGTAAAGTTCTTGCCCCCGAATACCACTCCTCTTCTCCAGCCCATGGACCAGCAGGTCATTGCAAACTTTAAAAAACTCTACACAAAAGCAATATTTCACAGGTGCTTGACTGTGACCACAGACACTCGCTTGACCCTAAGGGAATTTTGGAGAGAACACTTCAGCATCCTCCATTGCATAACCCTTATAGGTATGGCTTGGGAGGGAGTGACTACCAGGACCTTGAACTCTGCCTGGAGAAAATTGTGGCCAGATTGTGTCGACAAGAGGGATTTTGAAGGGTTTGGAACTGACCCCGATGAGCCTATGTCTGTTGTAAAATCAATTGTGGCACTGGGGAGTTCCATGGGGTTGGATGTGAGTTTGGAGGATGTGGAAGAATTGGTGGAAGACCACATCGAAGAGCTCAACACTGAGGAGCTGCAAGAGCTTCAGCAGGAAGAGCAACACATCGCAGCTCAGAATCTTGCTGCAGAGGAGGAGGAAGAGAGATGGAAGAAGGTGCCTTCTTCAGAAATTAGAGATTTTTACTATGTGGGGTAAGATGGAAAGCTTTATGGAGAAACATCACCCTAACAAGGTTGTTGCAAGCCAAGTTGGCAACATGTACAGTGACAAAGTCTTGGGCCATTTTAGGGAAGTGTTAGAGATGCCAGAAACAGAGCTCTCTCCACAGTTATTTTGCAAGACAGGACTCCAGTGACTCTCAAGGTGGTCCTAGTGGCATTAAGAAACAGAAGACAAGCAACCCCAGAAAAGCATTTGGTACCTGAGGTGTTGCTGGAAGGGGATTCCCCTTCCAAACTATAAACAATCCACTCTTTCTCCTCCTCCAGTCTCCCATACACTAAAGAAGAATCTCCAATAAAGGTAAGTGTTATGCTGTTAATGTTTCATTCATCATTTCTCATTGTATTGTTTATGTACTACATGTATATTTCATGTAAAATATTTTTGGTTTAATACTTCTGGGTGTCAGGAACGGATTAATTGTATTTGCATTATTTCTTACGGGGAAAATTGATTGGTAAATCGTAAATTTCGTTTTTTAGTAATGGCTCCAGGAATGGATTAATTACGAAAAACGAGGGACCACTGTACTTGACTTCTCCATTGAGCATGTTTGTCACTGTGAGTCAAGTGTATTCAGTAATGACAGAATCAGTAATGATTAAGGAATCAAGCACATTTTCATAAGTTTAATGTCATTTGGATAGCAAGCAACTATTTACTTGTAATGTTGTAGTTGCTGCTTGTAATTCTTATCTAGTGAGGTGGCAACAAGAATAGTTGCAGCCCTTCCAATAGTCTTGTTTAGATTCATAAATGTGTATAATTTGTGATATTTTCTTACATTTAAGAGAAATTTCTTCTTGAGCAGTTGCCATTGCAATTGATTTAAGAAAGGGATTAATAGTGATGAGCTTCTTGGGAGGGGCTTTAAGATATGTGATATTAAATTAATACAGTTTCTTTGGAGGGGCAAAATTCTCTTGTTGTCTATAGTGATACAATTCATTCAGATTATAGAATTTTAATGTAAGTAATTGCAAGTTTTCACAATTCATTTAGATTTGTTCATTTATAGTACTTCTAGACATCTAGCAGGATGTATGGTGATTGGTTCATTTCTCAACATTTTAATACCAATTAAGCTCAAATATTCTTTCACTAATATTAGAATACCATGTTCCTTCCTTGTGTTAAGGATCTTCAGTTGTTTCAGGACAACTAACGATAATTCTGATGGCTTTGTTTTGCTCTAGCTCAAAGATCTAGAGAGTTTTCTGTAGCTGATATTAACATAGATGCAGTGTAATCAGTTAAGGATGAGAGTGGCAGACTGATGCTTTCATTTTGTGGATCTATTATTAGCTTACACCTGTGAAGTACAAAATGATAAACAGTCTGTCAGAGTTGAATGAATAAATCTAGTGTTAGAAGTCCTATTTTCTTGTGGTTGACATGACTCACGAAATCGTAATGACACGATTGCAAACAAACCATACCACAGGCGGATTGAACCCGCCGAGGGTTCAACCTGAACCGCGGGTTCAATCCCACCTGTGGTATGGTTTTTTTTCTTGTGGTTAGTTTTATGGCATTATTCTAGTTATTCAAGACTAATATTAATTGTACTTTTTTTTTTTTTTTTTTTTTTTTTTTTTTTTTTTTTTAACTTGAAACTGCTCTTAGGTTGATAGCCCTTGTGGCTTAGCGCTTCTTTTTGATTATAATAATAATAATGCTCTTAGGTTGAGTATGTTAAGTGTTTACTGCAGTAGCACTGTGCTGCCACTGCAATGGTTTTCACATATGAAGACACTCTTCTAAACAAACTTTTCCTTAAAAACTACTTTTCCTGCCTAGTTGGTATTGATATTTAGTAGGGTCTGGCTCCTGCACTACATATCAAGGCATTCAATATGCATGTCTGATTTTCATTAATTATTTTTGGCAATGTACCCCTTTTTGCCAGGGCCATAAGTTTTTAATTTTCAAAGTTCCACGAGTTGCCCCAAAAAATAATTTGCTTGTAATTTAATAACTGTAAACTGGTGCTCTTACTAGAACCACAGGAATGCCAGTACTGAAAGAACTGTAGCTCTGTATAATATGTATATAAACAGTGCATTAAATGTAATCACCAAACTATAAGTGAAGTACTGTATAGTATTTGGTTCACATTGCATGTGTCTACACTATTTAGTCATTTTAAC